CGTTTTATATATTTGTATCAAAACATATTCAAAATAAATTTTATTATCAACTATCAATTTGCAATTGATCATTAAATTATATAAATAATTAGGGAAACAACAAAAATATTTGAAAATTTGCTATTCAAACGTATTTCTAACTTTTCAGTAATTGCAACATGGCTCATAAATTGTCCGACAGGTGTTTTCGAATTTCCGATACACATAGAAATGTTAAGAATTTGAAGCTTTCAAGCTACCTATAGATTTATAACAATTAAGACATTATTAGATTGTACTAATTAAATTATTGCATAATGACTAGACTTTGTTTCTTGTTTCACTTGGTTTGTCGAGCACAAGATGGGACAAGACTCATTAATTTGTCAACTACTGAAGTAACACTCGCACGTGTTAACCATATCATACCTATTGATCTTTACTTCCTGGAGTCTTACTATTACATGAATGGTCTATATCAGCACTTTTTCTTTTTTTCTATTTTACATAAATTGCCTTATTATCGAGGTTGTATAAAACGGTAATTGGGTCGAAGACAAGTTAGGCACCGACTCACAATTAATCGGTGAAGAGATGATTAATCGGTGATAAATCGAAAATAAATAAGTTTTTAAAATTTAATATAATACAGTTCTAAATATTATTTATAAATAGTCAAGATATATATAAAAAGATATTTAAATATAGTTATATCTCCATCACGTATATATCCTAATAACATAATAAAAGTTTAATAATAATAAGATCATAATGCATAAATATCCTTATAAAATATAAATAAAATGGTAATTTTTTTAATTGAAGTTTATTCTTGACATTTCTGGCATACATCATTAGGTTCTTTACAGTTAATATAAAGAAAATAAAGCATAAACTCATATTTTTTTCAATTAAAATTCCAACTTCTATATTGAATTAAAAAAGAAAACCGATTTTTGCCACCTAAGTTTGACCCGCCTTCAAGTTTTGATCGCCTCAGACCGCATCGGACCACCTCAGACCGCCTAAAACAGTCTCACATGCAAAAACCCGATTTTTCAAACTTTTACACTAAAATCGTAAAGGTCTGGGACAGCCTCCGCCTCGGAGACCGATTAATCGGCCGCATCGACCGATTTTTAGAACACTGCTTATTATATGAATAATTAAAAATTATTATTTCATTAGTTAATTTTTTTTTTGTTTAGAGAGTTATTAGTTAATTCTTGGAATAGTAAAAATTATAAAATTAAATATATAAAAAAAAAATGATTGTAAATTGTTTTCTTCCCTTAACTAGATTTTGGTCCCCTCAGATTCTCTATTTTATTTTTTACACTAATTTGATGAATGGGGAACCGAAGTGTACTGGTAAACTCTGTTCTTGTGCAATAACTTTCAAATTATATAAGAAATATATTTCACATTACACTAATTTTGTGTGACGAAGTTTGGCTAAAAAATATTGGTAAGAAGGTTCAAATTTTGGTCAAAATGAGAGCCCACTCCCTTAGTATTCCACTATAAGTCAACCCTCATTGATTTACTTTGATATGAATTTTCTTTTCGGTAAACTACAAGAAACCCCCTAGACTAATGTTAAATTACAAAAAAAAAAAAAAAAAAAAAAAAAATCCAGAAGTTAATTGCCGTCTTACATGATCTCCTTATGATATGAAGTTCGATGAAATCTTTTTGATTTAATGTTTATCATCTAAAAGGGTGTTATTTATACATGATCTTTTGAGCATGTCACACTATATATCATGGTTATAGAATAAATATACTAATACATACAATTTCGTATTTTTCGATTAGTTATACTTTCCTTCGACCGTTGATTTCTTTTGTTTCTATGACTTCTCCTAATAACCCCTCCCAAATTAGCGGGTTAAATCTTGGAGGGAAATTAGTATACTTTCGGGAAAGTATCATTCTTTTGAGAACTGAATAATTAATTCTAATTCTTTTTATTTTACGAGAAATAATCAAAGTTGTAAAAAGCGGTAATCGGGTCGGAGGCGGTCGGGGACCGACTCACGATTAATCGGTGCGGGCGTGATTAATCAGTGATAAATCGAAAATAAATCGATTTTTAAAATTTAATATAATATATTTCTAGATATTATTTATAAATACTCAAAACATATATAAAAAGATATTCAAACATAGTTATATCCCCATCATCTATATATCTTAATAAAATAATAAAAGTTTAATAATAATAAGATCATAATACATAAATATCCTTATAAAATATAAATAAAAAAACAATTTTTTTGAATTTACATTTATTCTTGAACATTTCTGGCATACATCATAAGTTCTTTAACAATAACAATTAACATAAACAAAATAAAACATAAGCTCATATTTTGTTTATTAAAATCCCAACTTTTATTTTGAATAATTAAAAAAAAAAAAAGAAAAAAACCGATTTTTGACCGATTTTTGCCACCGAAATTTGACCCGCCATAAATGTTTGACCGCCTCAGACCGCCTCAAACCGCCTCGGACACCGATTAATCGGCCGCCTCGCCCGATTTTAGGAACACTAAAAATAATTGATTAAATTATAGTTAAGTGCACATGGGATATCGGGGCACATACATACTCAATGTCCACAAAATGTGACACAAACCATAAATAAAAAAATAAAAATAAAAAATAAAAAAAATTAATACATGCATGGTTTAGGACGATGATATCTAGCCTAGGGAACAAAACAAAGGTACGTGGAATTTAATGTAAATACATTAATTAATATTGAAGTTTCATGCACTGACAGTTTTTATTTAATTTTATTAATTCCAATGCCCACCTTTTGTAGCTACATAGCATGTGCAACTCACATTATATTAAAACATATATTGCACTATGTTATCGAGTATTGGACAAGTAATATATATATAGTAGTTCACATTTAAATATGATTTTGTAATTGTGTTTTTTGTCAAAATATTTAGGAAAGAAATAAATATACGACAAATTACGAGAACCCCTTAATTTGAGGCCTAATTACAAAAATATCCTTCACTTACATAAGTTGGAATTGCATCATAACTCGAATTACAATAGTTATAATTGCATCATAACTCATCCAACAAATAGATCTATTACATTTATAGTTTTAGAGATTAAAACGAGAAATTTCTTGAACTAATGTGCGAAAAAACCCTTCATGTAATTACGATGTGAATGTTAATGAAATATTTTTGATCATATGAAATATAATATTTCATGAGAGGGGTGATTGTAATATATATTGTTGGAATATATTATGAATTGTTTTGTCCTAGCCGTTATGTTGTAGGAGTTTCATTGTGATGTCTATCATTTAAAAGTGCATCAATTGTGATTTTTTTTTGGGGGTTTGAACCTTTTACGGATGTAATATAAATACTACTCCATCTGTCCCATATTATATGTTCTTTTAGACAGTTTTTTTTTGTCCCAAATTATTTGTCATTTTAGATTTTCAATGAAACATTAATTGCATTATTTTCAATTTTACCCTTAATCACTTATAATTAATTAGTTGACATTAATATTGAGGATATTTTAGTAATTTTATCTGTTTTTTTTTTTTACTATAATCTATGCACATTTATTGATTTTTTTAATATGTAAATAACCCAAAACAACATTTAAATTGGGACGGAGGGAGTACATGATAATTTTTTTTTTTTTTCCTCTATGACTCCAAATCATTAGCTATGTTAAAATTATAGGTGAAATTTGCACTTTTGGAAAAATATCAATATTTTCAGGGTTGGGTAACAAATTCAAATATGGTTACAAAGAAATTCTGAAAATTTGCATTCGAAACTTCGAAAAACTGGAGCAAAAATATTTGTCCCAAAAAAAATTATAATCGGAACCAACAAAGTTCATTTTTTTTTTTTGTTTTTGTTTATCGTGTAATAATAAATACATAATAATACACCAGACCGGAGTTTGCCGAAAACTCACCATTATCACCATCAACAATCAACTGTTGCCGCCAAAATCTGCAAGGAGTAACCAAAATCTTCAAATTAGATAATCTTAATTTTTTTTAAATGT